TGTTCAGCAGCTCAAAGGCTCAGAATTCCCAGGAGAGTCTGACTAGAGACTGTCCCGTAACCCGACGCCATGGAGATCACCTGAAGTCATCGCAATCTTACGTGTGTTAGAACACAGTTGTGCTCAACAGGGTTTTCAATGGCTAACTTTTACAAGTCGATCACCTGGTGGTTCTCAAAGGAGCCTCTCGATGGACTTAAACCTCCAAGCTTTGGGTTGGCAGCTGAGCATGTCAACTGTTTTCCACTACCCAGGGACCATGCCTGCTCTCTAAATGAGCTCCTAAGAAGACAACTCGTTTGTTTTCCAAATAAACTGGCTCAGAGTCAGTTACAATAAACCAATGAAGAGAATTTTCAAGGAAGAACGGATTATTAAACTCTAATCTACAGAGTGTATGAACCCTGAACCTTAAAAAGAACCTGATACACAGAAATTCTGCTCATCTCAAATTATATTATGCATTTAAGATGCTAAATCCATGACTCGTATTTCATTTTAAATCATGAAATACCAAACACAGCCCACACAAACAAAAACACAAGTCAACCCACTGCCATCAGGTCAACTCTGACTAAGGGCGACCGTAGACGGGGTTTCAGAGACTACATCTGTTACAGAAACAGAAGGCTTCAACTTTCTCCTGAGGAGCAGCTGGTGTGTTAGCAACTTGTCATTAGCAGCCCAGTGCCTCCGCACAGCACCACCAAGGTCCCTTGGTTTAAGTAAAGTTAGGTAATTTTTCCTCAACAACTCCAGGAATGAAATCTTGAGAGAATGTCATTACTTGCAAGCTTAACTTTAAAAAGACCCTCCTAGTTTTCATGGCTGACCGATTCATTAGCCAATAAAACTTGTCCACTCAGTAGAAAACCAGCGGAAAAAGTTGTAGCGATGCTCAGTTAAAGGAGGAAGCATATCCACGCCTTCAGAGGGATCACTGCAGCAAGGTGTAAGTGACGGATGAAATCACACATCTCTACTCAATGAACAGGAAGAATATAAATACGGTTCTGTAATCCCTGCAATGAAATGCTTTAGCTAAAATGTTCTGCTCAGGTGAATCCAGAAAACTATCTGTTCCTCTACAAGTTCCAAAAGGGTTCCTTCCTCTGCAAACAATAATGATAAATTGTATCATTTTACTCAATGCAACAACCTCTTCTTCCTCTTACACTATCACACGGGAGACGTTAGGAAAGACAATTGCATTCAGCATCAACCAGGCCCGGGTTTGCGTTTGGCTGCATGATTTTGTACTTTCATTTTTAACTCCCCCTACTTCTGTAGTTTTCTTTGTGAAATCAACGGTCTACTGTATGTCCCCCAGGACGATGAAGAATCAATCCAATCACATATGAAGCCTCTAGTACAATCTCTGACACAAAGGACTTGTGAAGTTCGGGTCAAGGTTTCCTCCCTTTTCCCAATGAGGGTACTGATTCTGACATGGAAAACTATGCTCTATTAAACTGTAAGTTTGGGGTTTGGATTTTTCATGTTCTATCAGACAATTCATTTGGCCTTTTTCAATAGATGTTAGCTAATATTTAAGAAGAATAGATAATAAATTTCACTCATGTGGACAATACACTTTAAAATGAAATGCTAAAAAAGTACAAAATATTATTATTGCAAATTAACAGGTCTGAATAAAAATCTATATGCATAAGTAATATCCATGTTTCTATGATGCTCTTCTTCATGGAGATGAAGAACCACATTGGTATTTTATTCTAGGAGTAGATACTGTAAAACAATTTTTAAAAATTTCTTTAAGTGCATCTATATTGGAAATGTCTAATAATATGTAACAAGATTTCCTCAGCATGCAGGGGTGATGGTTGAACACTTTACAACTGAATCTCAAGAGACTCAGTTTTATATTAGAAATCATGCAGTGAGTTTTCTTTATACTGCTTCCCCCCATATCTTATTTTTGCCCTAATTTGGTCTAGATGTCAGACTTGAGCATTCACAAAATCTACCCAATGCAGAAGACCCGTCCTCTCCACAGATCCACATGAGAGACCTCATCGGCAAAATGGAGGTTTATGTTCCCCTGTGTCTCAAGCAATAACTAATGGGCATAAGCAACTTTGAGAACCTTTACCAGTAGGGCCACTGTGGATTGAAATTGACTTTCTAGCAGAGAGTTGGATTTAAGTTTGGGTTACCTAGGAAATGATGTTGTAGAAAGCAAAGAGAGAGGGATAAATTATACCATGCTGCTGATAACGAGTCACATCAAAGTTCTACTTTCAAATGAAGCAACGTTTCTATTTAAATACATAGTTTTATATGCATAACAATTAGATGATCACCAGAAGAAAATAATTTTCAAAATCGAATTTAAGTTCCTATTAGGACTATAGACAAAAAAAAAAAAAATCAAGAAAAAGGGAAAATATAACCCACCACTACCAGGTTTCATTTCCTACCAAAATTAATCTTCACTAAGATTTTAAAAGAGAATGAGGCCAATTCATTTTAATCCTGTGGCAATACTTTGAAGCTTACTTTTGAACCTAGTCGATTTTACATTTCCAGATGTTATGAAAGGCAATGTATGCAGAAAGCAGCACCAATAGAGATTTGCTTATTTAATTCCCCCCACTGTAGTGGTGATTTGTATCTTACTTTTTCAGAAAGCATCTTTAAGGAATTCTTCAAGCTCTCTGGAGAATGCTGGCTGGCAGAATTAAGTAGTAGGTCTGCATGGGCTGCTATAAGAGGTTGTAGTTGATTGATGTTGCTGAGAACCGCTTTTGCTTTGGCTGTGTTTTCAGGTGAATAGTAAATGAACTGGTATTCAGTACTGCAACAACAAAGATAAAGGTAGGTTACCCCAAAAGCGCAAACAACTCACTGGTCTGAATATCAGATAGTCTACAATAAGCAAAATCCCAACGATGACGACGGCTAATTAAATAGATAACCATACTAAGAAGTATGTACCATGTACGAAGGTTATGCTTTGTTTTCTTTTCTTTTCCCCTTCATAGTTATTGAGTAGATTAAGGAAGTAACAGGTCACAATTCAGCATCAGGAATG